CCACTTCTAAAACGGGGAGCTGCAGCGTGTAAAGAAACAGATTTCCCTTTTTAAAGGTAAACTGCTAAGTTTTGCTACCATCAGTACAAAATTTCCATGTCAACAAGGAGATAAGCTGCTGCAAGTCTTTTCCATCTCTATCCCTGCTCTCACCACAGCTTCTCGAGTCAGCTTTGTCAGTTCCCACAAAAGCGTCTGCTCCACTTGGGCTGCTCCAGTCACCGAAAACCCAATTTCCTCCTTGGTGCCCAAAATTGCTTTGCTACATGGTGGAAACAGCTGGGACCGATTTGTCAAAAAAATTCAACCAGAGCTTAGAACGATATCTTTACTGAAGCACTGCTTTCAGCTAGAGCCATAAATAATTTGTTAAAATTACAGGCTCATCACCCAAATCATGGGAATGCCCTTTTATAGGGCAGGATTTCTCACATCATACACTATTTCTCTGCCTCCCACCAGGAAAACGATCCCCTGGTAGGCACTGCACTCCCACCCCACACTCATTAAAGCAGAGCCATGGCTGGGCTGGGTGCCAGAAGATTCCACCCCAGCTGCTCCACCGCCCAGCGGGTCCATCCCCAGCCCTTATCTTTGTGAAGCAGCAGTGGAGAGCTGGCAGCCCCAAGAAACAGGCCATAAAAAGGCTCACAAACACACCGAATGCAACATGACCGGCATTTTTAAGGGACGTCAGGCAGCATTTGTGCAAAGCCTAGCATCTCTGAGCCTTCAGACTTTATTTTGAAGTCTCAGTACTATTGCATTAGTGAATTGCAAACTAACAGGCCAGCCTGCTAACGCACTCCTAGTGCCTGCTGCCGAGAATACACCGGAAGATGCGACTGAAGTAAGATGGAAAATCATGACTCTGTCTCTGACTTGGTCAAAAGATTTGAGGACTTGGAGAAGCAAGACAGGAATCCAGAAGAAACCCATCTCCATGAGCTGGAACCCAAAATGATGTCATATGGTCCTGATTTAAATGCATGTCCTGTTCTTTCATCTTCCCAAGAACTTGCTTTGTACTTTTTGCAGTGCCTGTACCCACCCACTTAGTTTTTCTGTACTTTTAAAAATAAGATACGTGAAAGCCACACCAGGTCCAAGTTAATATCTCATAATCTTCAACTTTGTTCCAAATACATTTCTGCATTGTTTCAAGTGCTCTGGACTTGATAATTGCATTACTTACTTGCAAAGTTCTAAGAATTGGACTTTGGCAATCTGATTATGAATTTCCCTTAAAAAGCATTCAGAGCTAGGCTTCCCCCACACACAGATGCAATGTATAATTAAATCTGAAAAGTTAACGGTAAATAGGACAAGACATTTTCAAAACCACTAAGCTACACCCTTTTCATGCGAATTCAGCCTTTCCTCTCTCTGCCAGATTCTTGACCCTCTTCCCTTATGTCTAAAGTTTGAACATTGTTAGTTTTTAGCAAATTATTTGCCCTTGCTTCTCGATTGCTCAGCCTCCCTGTGGCTGCAGCTCTGTGCTGGCACCACGCTCCTACGCTTGCAAACATCCAAGAGAACAGATTCTCCCCGTACCTGGATGACTGTGATCTGAAGGGCTCTGTGCCCTCTTCAACAGAGATGAAAGACGCAAATTATCTTGGTGCATGAGTACAGCCCTTTGTTTTCTTCTTCATTCTGAGATCAGTCATCTTTTAGGATATTGCAGTGCAGAAGTCCAACGCTTACCCAGACCTAAAGGACAACCCGTGAACAGGTAGAGATGCTTCTGAGATGACACAAAGTCCTGGAGCTCTGGAGAGCATGAACTCCAGTGTGTTTGAGAGCAGAAAACCCTAAATGTCTCAAACCTGGGGGTGGGAGGAAAAAGTCAACATCTACATTTAAACAACTACAACAAACCTCAGAATACTTACCTTTCATACAAATTTCCTTTCAGATTTCCCGTATGGTGGAATATGCATTTAAAAGAGCAAGTAAGCTAAAATAAATTGGAGATCAAGGTAAGAAGTTCAGAAAAAGCCCACACAAACAAAACCAAAACATAACAAAAGCAAACATATACTCAGTAAGAAGAAAAGGGCACAGCACAGCAGCAAGAGTGGTAGAGTAGTCTACAGAAAGACCTGCTACAACATAATGTATTTGTAAGGGATGTGTTAACAGGTCCATTCCAACCCAAACTACTTCACAATTCTATGTTTACTAGTCTGCTTACCCACATAGCAGGGAAATCAAAGGTAAAAGTGAATCCTGGAAAGAGTACATTATTAAGGAAACAACATTCAACATTGAATTTTAAGATCATCATTGTTCATAGAATGGTTTGGGTTGGAAGGGACCTCAGAAGCCTAACAGAACACTTTCTTTCAGTTCAGCTAAAATTATGATGAATTAGTCATCTGCCTGAATAGATGAACTGAAGACAAAAAGGAGAACCTACGATTTCTTCCACTATTCAGACTAAGAATCAGAGAAAAAAACCCCAAAACTATAGGACAATATCAAAACAAGGAGCCAACTACGGAATACTCTCATTAGGAGATTGGAAATGTTCATAGCAGTCTTAAATTTTCAAGTGGTTTTACGGCATTTGAAATGACACATGAAGAACTACATCTAGTTCTATAGCCCTTCGGTATTTGATTCTCAGCTGGTGGTAATACAGAAGGCGAGTGATTGGGGCCTGGTACGTTGTATGAAAGGAGCTCAAGCACAGCCCAACGGGAGCAAAATAGTAGAAATTTGTTCCCATGCTAAGAAGAAGAGAGAAAGATGCCAAGATTTTGGTATTAAAAACCAAAAAAAAAAAAAAAAAAAAGAAAAAACCCCCAAACACCTGTCCAGAATGGAGTAGCCGTTTGGTCATCTGTGGCCTGGAAACACATGGTAAATCGTAACTCAGACAGGGATAACCACCGAGCAGCCAAATTACCTTGAGGAAAGGCAGAGTTTATGGCAGACGGCTGGTTAATGCCAAGTCCCAGAGGGTTTATCTGCAGGCCTGGGAGGAGCACGAAAGCTTTGCTGTGCTGCTCATCAATGCTGCTCTGCACTGACAGAGAAGGGCGACATTCAGGACTGAACTGGCGTTCCCTCGGCCCCTGCTCTGCCTACCAAAGCTTCAGTCATGGCCTGGAGCACAGGGACACCATTTAAATTAAAAGTATTTACTGGGATGGCAAACTGCAGAAGTACTGAAGTGTAAAATTGAGATAGACAAAAAAACCACAACACCCCACAAAAGTCTGTAATGAGCTAGCTCAACTCTTCAAGTATCTGTCCCAGCCACAGCATCATAATAAGAGATGTACACCGACCCCTGAGGATGCTGAAGAGAAGTCAGATGGTAATAACTCAGCTGTTCCACCTGTTTTTAAAGCAGCACCCTGAAGGTGAAATACCAAAAATCAGTTTGTAAGAGCAGCAGCACTAAGAAAGGATATTTAATTCAAGAATTCCTAAAGCAGCTGAATAGTTTTATGGTTATGAGTCTTTAGACTACATGTCAGTGCTAAAAAATTAAAACAAAATCACAGAAAGCTCACAGTAATCTCTTATTCACCTAGGACCATGCACGCATGCATGTTCACTTGTATAATGAGGAGGAAACAGATTAACACGACTTTTCCAATTTTATTGTAGGAAAGCGCATATGTACACTAACCCCTGTACAACTGAAAGGTATTTCTTCACTGCTGTGTTTACCTGCTAAAGATACACTTTTTTTTTTTTAATACAATTGATTTATGAACACAAGGAACATCTGGCTGCTGCACTATAAAGTTTCCCACATTAAGTGCTCCTAGAAAACCCTACCAAAGGATTGCTACAAATCACAAGAGGTTCCTCAGTCCACTGAAGCCTTGCACAGACACACTTTCCAACAGGAACGCCAGAAGGAACATCTTTTGAGTAAGTCCCTGTCCCTCCGTACTCCCAGCTCACCCGCTTAGGGAAACACTGACAAGCTGCCTGACCGCTCTTTAATCAAGAACTTCTTTGGCTACTTCAGCTGATCAGAAAGATTCTGACTGCCAAAACTGCTGCTGAATGGAAAAAAACAAACAGACTTTCTCATCTCAGTAAGATTGGTTCAGGCCACGATCACCACAAAGAAACAGATTCTGTAAAACTTAGCGGGATGGGGTTAGTAATTTTTCCACCCATAGCATTTGATCGCGTTGTTCCTAAAGGGATACAAACGTGCGAGAGAGTTGGATTACAATTCAGAGATCAGTACATTAGACTCCGTTTTATGTAAACAAAAAAAAAAGAGTAACATACTCTTGTGTTGCTATAACTCAAACTCCATGTCCTGCTCTGCTGCTTGCACCAACCTCCTCACCCCCACCACAACACAAACAACAAAACCATCCCAGCTTCAGCACGGCTGTAGAGGATGTAAAAGAGTTCAGGATTTAGCCTAAGGCAACTGGCAATTTCACTTTGAGATGCAGTTCTTACACAAGAACAATAGCACCTTAGAATTTTTTATTTTTTTTACTAAGAATTTAGGTACCAATGCACAAATACAAGTTTTAGACATTAAAAAAACCCAAACAAACCAACAAACCCGCACAAAAACCCCAAACTCCTTAGCTTCATTTCAGAGTGCTGTAAAAATAACATTGATTTATGTGCCCAAGCATTTACATAGTAAATACATCACAGAAAACATAAAGGTCTCAAAGAGAAACTTTTGATAAGTGAAAACTGAAGATAAGGCCCAATGAAATTACTACTGGAATGCTGATAGAGAACTGTCTGATTTTGTTGATTCAATATAGAAACACTTGCATTTTCTTGAAACTACTCTTAACTAGCTGAATAACTCCCATGTTGGTCTATCTGCTTCTTCACAGAGGAGGCCAATCGTTCTTCAGCAGCTTTATTTCCATGGTTGACTTGTATGCAAGTATAAAACTGCTTTGGTTTGGTTCGCTATCTTCGAACACTGTATATTGATTTCATGTAACCCAACATTCCCAGAAATGTATTTCTTTTAGCGATAGACTTCACCGTCTGGCAGGTTTGGGCATTATGTAAACTTTGACAGGTTTGCTGAAGGGTATGGTGCCCTCTATGCCGGTTTCAGATTGCGGGAGAGCCTCCATGCTCTCGCTCCAGGTACATTTAGGAATTTTAGCAGATGCCTTGCTCCTGTTGGAATTGTAAGCCAGCAGCAACCGCACTTCAATCTGACATGGTTCTGCAGAGGAAAAAACAGAACAACCCAAACACGTACAGACCCATTCTGGGCTGACCAGAATCCAACCTGGTGTTTGAAAATCCCACTTTGTCCTTACATTCAGCACAGTAGAACTGGTTTAGGTGCCCTCCTCTCTTTCTCATCACTTAAGGAGAGAATCTCACGACTAACTTACAAATAGCAACTTTCAAAAATAACTGTTAAAAGTAACTCCAACCAAATAATAATAAAATAATTTAAAAAAACCCATAGAACTAGCAGGCTTTGTTCCCTGCATTTATGGCAGGATCAAGTAAACCCAGATGATGTCTGATAAGACTCACAGCACAGGAGATTGCTTGAAGATTCTCTTCTGTTGGAGGTTTACACTGCAAGACAGCTTTTTCCCCCTCTTTCACCATCTCAGCAGCCTGATAGATATTCTTAATGCTGTCCATAAGATGAGTTCACTTTGTTCTTCTCCCAGCAGTCATAACAAAAATGATCTTTCAGTCTACATAGTATGACTCTGAGCAGCACGCTGGGCTATATCGCCATCAAAAAATCAATGAAAAATGTGATTCCTTTAGGTTTTCCATATGGACTCGTGCTGGTTTTGGCTGGGATAAAGTTAATTTTCCTCCATAGTAGCTCACACAGTGCTATGTTTTGGATTTGTGACCAAGACAGTGTTGATAACACAGGGATGTTTTCGCAATTGCTGAGCAGAATTTTAAGATGCAATGCCCAGAACTGCAGCAGTACTCCAGCTGAGACATCATCCGCACCAGACAGAACACAAGAAATAACCTTTTTCTAGAGTTATCCCAGCTAACACCTCCCTGAGACTCACCTTTTCACCATACTGTCAACTCTTCTTTCATTTGTAGCTCACAATCATCTCTGTTGCTTCTGCTATAGCCCTGTCAGTCAATCCGTGCTTTGTATTTGGGCCTTCTCCTCCCTAAGCATGCACTTGTACTGGCCTTCAGTAAGTGTCAATGTCTTGAGTTAAGGCAAGTTCTCCCTTTCGAATTCTGAACCCCTCCCAGCCTGGTGTCCTCCCCATGTTTTACATGCCTAAGTGCCAATGTCAAAGTTAATAGTGAAAATAATGGCTAGGGCACACACCAGAAGAGAATCCCTTCGGGTCATGCTTAAAATGCCCTTCCAGTGAACGCTGCAGAAGCAGAAATAAGACTGTGGACATGTATGTCTTATGTGCAGGAGACTGGGATCAAGGAAGATGCATTCTTATGTTCGAAAATACAAATCACATGAACTCGTATCATCAACATTACCTGTCCAGGCTGTGTGCGAGAGGTAAACCTGAGTTATCAGCCTGTGCCTTCCAGGACCAGGATTTCGAAAGTCAGCTGGTTTAGGATGGATTAGTTGTGCTTGTCCATCTGGATACAATACCTGGGGGGGTGGGGGAAGGAAAAAACTGAATGACAACTGGACTGGGGATTTGCACAGTGTGCATTGTTTTGGTGTTTTCTGTTTCAGTTTGGGAGGCAGTGCTTTATCTTGGGAGTCCAGCTGCCCTAGATTTAACAGGCACACACCAGCCATTCAGACCCACAGCACAGGTGGGGAAAAAAAATAAAATACACTGACATCAGCTTCTTCCTCTGCAGTATAAACAGAGGTGTTCATTTCTTTGTTACGCAGTGAATTTTCATATTTTACTTGGCATTGTACCACGTCTACCTCCTCAGCTACATTTGAAACTAGCGATTCAGAGGCAAGAAGAAAGTTAAGTTGTAATTACGGATTACATATTTTTGCCTGCATATTTCTACACCATTCAGAACAGCTGCTTTTGCTCCTCCTTCTCCCACTACACAAGCTGGAAGTTCACCAGCATTTATTTGTGCTCCGGTCCGTAACGTGCCTAACGCATGTGACAGTGGAGGGTAGGGCGTGCGGAGCACAGAACAGCATCAAAGTGCTCAAAGCAAACTCAGGAACTGTTTGTATGCAAGTCAACTCAGCGCACTAATTACAAGGCAGTTTCTGAACATGTGGCTAAAACACAAAAATCCAATACTGTTACTAATAAAGTCTACGATTACTCGCAATTTAGAAGTATTGACAGCCTTAAGCAAACCTCCCCTAAGATACAATCTTGTCTGTACTTACGTCAAGCAGCTGCTTACCTGAACTTTAACTGTTCCTTGGGGATCCTGCACATGTTCCAGAGTTGCATCAACGTCCAGTGCCACTACCAACCCCGATGTAAACCTCAGAGGATTATCAGATTCACCGGTAGGCTCAATGATATTTGCAGTAGCTCTGTGGAGCTTTTAGGGGCAAAGTGGTTGGCAAAAATAAGGCAGGAGGAGGAGGAGAGAAAAACAGACAATCACTATTGTTCTTAATGGAGAAACTGTGCATGAATTTTGGATTCTTTTAGATTCTTCCAGGAATTATTAAGTCTTCCGTATTTTTAGCAGTAGTGCTGAAGATGCTAGGTAAGAGGAGGAAAGCCTTTGAAGAAATAACACTTGGGACTGACCAAAAACCTGAATCCTAAAAGCTTCACGGTATATTAGGAACTATTTGGATGCTAAGATGGTCTGCAAGTACACTGCATTTTAATTCTCTGTGTTAAACTGACCTGCTCTGGAAGAGGAAGGTGGAGGAAGGTACTTTGTCGCAGTGTTGTCTGAAGAATCTTGACCACTTCCGAAGGCTTGGATGTCACGAGTCTGGGCATTAAGTCCAGCAATTTATCTACAAAACTGCCTTGCATATGTGGGAGCTCAGAGATGAAACATCTGTGTTAAGAATAAATTAAAAATCAAATACTTTTTTCAACATTTTCACCCTAGGTACTTAATCCTTATATTTAATTATGCTGACACAATATACGTATATATATGTAGGTTTTTCTTCTCATGCACATCTCATAGAAAATAAAGATTATTTTGGCTAGTTATGTTGGGACCATACCTAGTGCTCAAGGGCTGTTTAGGTGTCACTTATGTCCTTCATCAATACAAAGCCTAGTGGGCAAAGGAATCTAGATTCACAAAAAAGGAGCTAGAAATGCCAAAGTGCCCATCAACACCACATTAATGAGAAGCAGGTATTGTAGGCATTTGTCTGCTCAGACTGCGTGTGCAGCTGTAATGCTATTTAGACAGTAGGAGCGCTAATTAAATGGGACTATGGGCAATTCCAGTACTCTGCATTCAATCTCGATGTCTCAACAAAGAAACATAGCTGGGTGAAAGAGCCATTCCTACTGTAGTTGCCTTGCAAGCTTTTGAAATCAGTACTTCTCAGGGAAGACATGCATATGCCTAATTCTTTATGCTGTGCACTTTCATCTGGCTAACTAAATAGCTGACTCATTGCAGGATCTAACATACTCACACACCCAGTACATGAACTGTCTGACCTTCTGCTGCAGCAAGGTTTCCAGAATGGCTTTTCTCTACCAATATTTATGACAGTATTAATTATTACATCTGAAATTTTAACAGTAAACTACAATCAGTAGGAAAAAAGGAAGAAAAAAAGAGCTAGTTCTACAGTCAAGAACAGAGAATAGAATTCATTCTATAGCTTGGGACAACAGCCTCTCACAAGAATAGCATTTGATATTTCTTATTCTTCATACAGAAGTAAAATTGGGCCACTAGCCCACATCCCTGCATGTGGAAGATGCTTCATTAGACTGAGTCATTGGCGGCTTATCCGTTATTATCAGCAACATTTCTGCTGTGTTTAGCAAGACAATTTTGTAAGCCTAACAAATACTTGTGCAATTTGGTGACCAAAATACCTAGACATGGGGATTTTACATGTCCGAGCATTTATAGGTGACCTTACAGCTAACTTGACAAGATCTACCATCATCCAGACTCCCTTTTGTGGAATTCATCACTGCCTGTAGGAGTTACATCCCTGAGAAACAGTGATGAGTTTCGTTGATTGTGAGACTCAGTGCGAGGAAAAGACACAAAGCAAATGAACGGTTCTATTCACTAGCTACCAAATAAGCTCAGCATTAGGGAATGGGTAGATTTGGCTCCCTTTGCTCATCACTTAACCAGCACAACTGCCAAGCATATGGACTACGAATAAATGGGAATTTAATCAGAATTAGAGATGGAATTCTGTTCAGCTAACTCTGGATACTTATGTCTCTGGGCTAGCTATCCAATTCCCTTCTGAGGTGATGGAAAAAAACCTAGGCATCCTTAATCTGACCTGTTTTAGACATCTAGATTAGGATAAGATGAAAGAAACACCTCTCCAGTGAGAGGAGTGCTGGGCGAACACTTCATAAGGCATGGGCTACAAAGCAAACGTCAACACCAGGGTGACATAACTCCCACCTCGAGCATGTACACAGTTCACTCGCTCTTTCGTTTACAATTTAGAAATTTGGGATGAGGAAAGGAGAAATTCCTTTTTTGTAATACTCCCAGGAAAGCTCTTCCATTGGTCCCACATTTAGAAGGGAGTTTACTTCTTGCTTTACTATTATCTCATCATAGCAGGCCCTGATGTAGGACAGCAACAGGGGGATGTGAAGAGATGAAAAACAAATGGAATATTCCCTTAGAAAGATGTTAGAAAGTGGGGAGACTTTCTAACAAAGTGAAGAAGCAACAGAGTTTCTCACCTCTGAAAGGAATCCACTTCTTGCAGAAATTTTTCACACATCCCAAAAAGAGGTTCCACTCTGTAATGAGGATAACATTCCTTCGTTTAGTTTTAAAGACAGAAAACTAGCTCTATGGTTATAAACATTTAGGTGGTTTGGAATCCAGTTTTTAGGAGCTTGAACTACAAGTCTTACAATTTTGAGGCCAGAAAGGTGTGCTCCACAAGAGAAAAAATAGAGATAAAAATTAATTGCCATCTCCTCCCCACATCCACATCCCCCTCCCACAAAAAAATCATTTGTATAACGCACTAATTAAGTTCCCAAAGCCACTGTTAGAAAATAGTAACTTTCCACCTACAAAACTAAAGGTTAAAAGGCAAATATATTACAGACCTCTATGGCAACACAGTAAATTGATGGCAACAAACTCGAAACAAAAGTAAACAAATTGGGATACTAACCACTTTGCTCTAATTCTGCCAAATGCAGTTCTATGACTACAACCATCGAAGCTCATGTGTAACTTCATTGACCCCAGCAGCCAAAACGAACCACGCGGAGCCTCTTGTGTTCCCTAAGCCACACGTACACGTGAGCATTTTGTGTCTGAGTCATGTAAACAGTAGATGCAGATCATCAGTCAAAAAGACAATTCTTTTCTGATGCTAAAAACCCAGCAACTAGTATTTAATGAAACAAACACGATTAGTGCATTCTTTGATACATGACTTTTCCTCACTTAAACAGGTCCCAAATATCAACTCTGAGACACACTCTGCAATGTTTTTAACTTATTTATACGCTCATAGCTGGGAGAACTCAACCCCCTAAACACATCTTCCTAATAATTTTGTCATCTAATTTAGCGTTATGTCACTATACAGCTACACCGAAGGCAAAAGAAGGCTCTTCATTCTGAATTAGTTTAGCAAATGGCATGCCATGATGTTTTACGTTTCTAATTTATCCTTGCTGGTTTTTTGGTTTTTTTTTTTTTTAAACAAAGCTTGAGGAAACTAAGCTTCCAGTTAACCCTCAGAAGCTCCTTTTACCAGGTCATCCTTACCCTCTTGTAGTACGTGCAGTTACTATAAGCTGTAACGCCTTCGCTTGCAGTCTCATGTGGTGAATAATGACCACTTGTCTGCTTTCCACTCCGCTGTACATGAATTCCATTTTATAAGTTTCTTCCAAGATCTGTCAGATACCGCAGAGGTAACAAACCATCAGACTCAGTTAAACTCTTGCACAAGCATGATCACAAGATTCTGGTATTTTTTTCTCATACTGAGGAACACATTAATCCATGAGTCTCATTTTTCTGGTGAAATTCTTCACCACAAAGCGGCACCTAATACTAAAAGGTTATCTTGGCTATATTAAAGAAACAATTCATGAAACTTGGCCTGAAAACAAGTGCTCCCTCCATCAACAGTCTATCTTTTGACATTGCGTTTTAGATTTCTAGGGTTGGAGCGCTCCCTGACTCCTGCTGACTACCGTGGAACACAAAACGCGAGCAGCACAGCAAAGCAACCTCAGAGGTCCTGCTCAGGTTTACATTTTTGGAGCTGTATTTGACAAAGTTCTCTCAGAAATAACTTTACATTCAACAACACTTCATGTACTGCAACTGAAGACGGGAATTCTCACAAGATATGAGCTATTTTAGATACACAGTTAAAAGTTTAGACAGCACATTGCACAGTTTTACTCATCGTACTTTATCTGTCCAATAGATGGGCTTAAGTAGATAAGAGAAGCACTCAAATTAATACAGTTGAGTTTGGTATGACTGTATCGAAGCCAAGAACTTGCAAGTTATTTAATAGGAAATATTCCCTCACTTTGCATTGACAGGAAGCATTCTACATTCACAATCACAACAGATCAAACTTCCCAGGGGTTTTACATGCTACTGAGAAGGGCACCCAAGACAGACAGTTCAATTAGAGATGATTTAAAAAGCTGATAGGCTTTTGTTTCTATTCATCCCTGGGGACAGCTGTCAACAGCACTGAAGGTTTTGATGCACAGCAGTACCTGCCTCTTATTACATCTTAATTAACTGAAGACTCAAAATGTCAGCATAGTTTCCCAGCAGATCCATGAACTTGCTTTTACTCTAGATTTGTTTCCAGATTATTTAATAGCTTGCTTTCTCCTTTACCTTTTCTTAGGGCTTAGCTTCAGTTTTTCCAGGATCAGATCATTTATACATCACAGAATCAGAGTAACTAGAGTTGGGTGCGACCTCTGGAGGACATCTAGCCTGGTCCCTTGCTCAGAGCAGGTCTAATTAGATCCAGTTACTCAGGGCCGTATCAAATTGTGAGCACTTCCAAGGACGGAGATTCCCCCCACCTCTGGGCAACCTGTTACAGTATTTATCCACCCTTACAGTAAATTTTCCCCATTTTATATCTAATCAGAATTTCTCATATTCCAACTTGGGTCCATTGTCTCTTGTCCAGAGCAGACTGGCTCCATCTTATCTACATCCTACGACAAGGCAGCAGTAGACAGCAGTAAATCCACCCTGAGGCCACCTCTTCTCCAGGCTGGACTCAGTAGCTCCCTCAGCCTCTCCTTGCAGGGAACGTGCTCCAGCCCCCGACCACCTTGGTGGCCCTCTGCTGAACTTGCTCCAGTTTGTCAGCATCTTCCTTTTACTAAGGAGCCCAAAACACAACACAGCCCTCCAGACGTGATCTCCCCAGAGCTGAACAGAGGGGAAGGAATGCTTCCCCAGACCTGCTGGCTACGGTCTTGCTGAGAAAGCCCAGGATGCAGCTGGCCGCCTTTACTGCCTCCCACTCAACACGTTGTCCACCACGATCCCCATGCGGAACATCATGAGGTTCCTGTCATCCCACTTTCCCAACCCATCCAGACCAGCCTGGGCAGCGGCCATGCTCTCCAGCATATCGACTGGCTCCTCAATTTGGTTTTATCCACAAACCTGCTGAGGGTGTGCTCCCTCCTGTCACACAGGTCATTAACGAAGATGTTAATACATTATTGGTCCCATCATTGCTTCCTGAGAGATTCCACTAACTACTGGCTACCCACTGGACACGGTGCCACTGACTACAACGCTTTGAGCCACGCAGTCCAGCCAATTTTCCATCCACCTTATCATCCTTATCATTCATTTATTCAGCCAGAATCCTGCCAGTTTGGTGAAAAGGAAACTATGGGATAAAGCATTAAAGGCTTCGCTAAAGTCAAGCGATATGACATCCACTGCCCTCCCCTTGCTCACAGCACCAGTCCCCTCATCATAGAGAGCAGTGATGCTGGTCAGGCATAATTTGCCCTTGGGAATCGCATTTTGGCTGTTCCAAATCACCTTGTTGATCTTCCCTTGTTTAGAAACAGCTTTTAAGAGGATTTGATCCATAACCTTCCCCACGAGTGAGGCAAGGCCAAGCAGCCTGCAGTTCTCCGGACCTTCTTTCTTGCTCTTCTGGAAGCTGGGTGCCATGTTAGCCTTTTTACAGTTGTCATGAACCCCGCCCACTCACCACTCATCTTTGGCAGATGAGAGAATTTACTCCACTTTGGGGAACTAAGATTTACTTGGACAGAATATGGCAGTGGAAGGCCAGAAGCATATTATTGTTGCCTGGCCGAGGAAGGGCTCGTATCCGAGGACTTGCCTCCATGCAGACCCAGCTGCTTCTTCCTTACCTGTTTTGCTGCAGCAGATGCTAATGCGTTCTGTTTCAGGTACAGAGGAGCTGCCACGTTCCACAGCTTCTCCTGCAAGGCCTACAGAAGAAAATCAGGAAATGATGATAAATACTCAGTTCAGTCTAAACATCATAACCCTGCGCCAGATGGGCTTGGGAGCAGGGACGATGCCCTGTCTCTCAGCTGTACGCCAACAGGTTGGTTGAAAAAGCAGGTTAAACTTTTCTCTTGTGCTTTTAAACACAACGTGGAGAACCAAGGCCTCCAAAATATGTATTGTTCTATAAATGCACGGAGATACCCATACAACTATAAAACAGAAGTTTTGAATAATATTAACAAAGCTATGAATTAAGAGACTGGCTGAGCCAAACTCTTCAGTACTTTATAAGGAGAACCTTAGGCAGAATGGAGTCACTTACAAGAAAAACAATAGCCCACTGCTGTATCACCTCCTCAAGACCAAGATCAGGGCAATCTCAGATTGAAGGCAAAAAATGGAAACAGTAACAACTGTCCCCAGAAACACAGCTACACAGTCATATTTCTGAACATTCCTGTTGACAGTCTCTGCCCCACCAAAGATCCTGGAGTTACGGAGAATAATGAGTGTAAATCAGCTATTGATATTTGTACTATAAAACAAAACAAAAAACAAAATCCAAAACACCCAACCACACCCTATTTGCTTTCTGATATGTTTTAAAAAATTAAGAAAGCTTGACTGGATGACTTATATCACTGTCTCCTTGCTGCCTGTCCTTAGATACAGCTAGACACAAAGCTGGCCGTAGCCAAAGCTGCAGAACATACTGACTATATCCTTCCCCTAGGCTGGCCCCTGAATCCCAGCTAACTACCCCTAAAATCACAGGGTATGTAAAGCCTTTAACTGTCTGGAACCTTTTGAGCCTCAAGGGGCTGGGAAATGAAGATACTGTTTTCCGCAAGGCAGTTTCTGTTCTGTTGGGGGGAAAAAAGGAATTGAAAAGAAATCTAATGACAAGGGCTGCTCTGACATTCTGGTTCTCTCTGCCATATCAGAATTTCTAATTGTACAATATTATGAGTTACTTTTAATTTCAGCCACATTACTGACTCCTCTACATCACTGATGCACTGACTGTTCTACACCCTGAGCCAAGAATGGCTTGTGCAGCATTTACCCCCTTCTTCCAAAGAGAGCACTCCTCTGCCAGATACACAAACCATCTGGTTCACTCCAGTCAAACTCCAGAGAAGGGCAACAAAGCCATCTCCAAACACTGGTCCTCTGCCTGGATAGTGCATTTCGCTTTGGCAAAAGTTTTGGATTTAGCTAGGATTGTACTGAACTGTAACACCACTCATCTAAAATACCTTCTTTGGGTGATAAATGTATTCCAAGGATTTGAGGGCTGCCATGAGATGTGCCAACTGGCAGCTACACGTTTAGCAAAGAAACTGAAATCCCCTCTTGGTTTTACATAACAAAGCTTTTATTGAGTCCCTTCTGGAAACCTGTTTGTTGCTTGCTTTAGTTCTTGCTTTACATGTGTATAAGTTACATTCAAACACCTAAAGAATGCCAGGAGACTAACCTAAATACTACTGCCAGCTTATAGCTTGAGAAGTGAAGCAAAAAATTAGTTCCTGTTTACAGCAAGAAGCTGACTTTGAAAAGGGCTGCTGCCGTGGTGCCAAAGTAACCTCTTCAGCTGCTAACACTGAATAGATCGATCGTTTCAGCACTGTAAAAGAAAGCACGACTGATATTTTGCTCAATCAAGTCTAAAGAATTCCTTTGGCACTGGTGCCAAAAAAAGCTGTCTACAAAACATCGTCTATAAAAACTCCACTTACAGCAGCGGTTTAGCGCAAAGCATTCCAGCGGCCACTAGCAGAGAAAAGTCACTCTCCTAACATAAAAGGCTGCAGAGTAGTTGCCTCCATTGTGATCTCTGGCAGAAAATAAACGGCACTGACAAAATGCAACATAAGCCCTAGGTACAACAGCAGAGATCTGCACTGGCATACTCATTGGCAAAGTTACCGCGTAAATTATTCGCCACAGAAGGGAAGCAGGAATATCAGAAATCCATGGAACCTGCGCTTTCGTCATACATCAGTTTTCAGCATGAACATCAAAACATGAAAGTGCACCACTGTGATGGACTGGGGGGGGATTTTTAAAGAACAGCCCAAAAACCCCAGAGGAAGTCAAACCTTGATGAGGAGCAGCTGACACTGAAGGTAAGTTGCAGTGAAATCTGCCATCCCTGCCAGTTCTGACTGCAGTTCTCCAAGCCTCTGAAGATCACTGAAGCATGTGGAAAAAGAAAAGAAAAAACAATGTTGACACAGCACTCAGAACGCAGCAACAGCACTGCTGAAGCCAGCTATTCCTGCATCTTGCTTTTTCTTAGAATAAGCACCAGAAACAGCAGCAAAACACGCGCTGCAAAACAGTTTGCACCTTGGGACTTGGCATCTCCTTTCTTCCTGGAGGCTGCCACGAGCGCAGCGGTGGAAGCAGTAAGTCTGTCAACCCACATTACTCTGCGGCCCTATGGGAACCATACAGCATAGCAGTTCCAGATTTAACTTAAAACACTCCAGACTTCTACAGCAGCTAATGACCCATTTGTGTTACACTGCTGGGAAATCTAACTATTCGCGTTGGCTAGGAAAGGTTGTTGGGAACAGATCGGGCTCACGCAACCAAGCATACTTGAAATATAGCTACCTTTTTAAACCAAGCTGAAATCTGATGTACTGATATTTGCCCAAGTAGCTGCTGTGTGCCGTCTGGTATAAATATTTCTAGTAAATCATACAGCAATAGAAGTAGCTTCTAACTTGATAGAAAAAACTACCCATTAACTAATGGAACCCAAAAGGGCTTTAGTTCTCTGCTCTTAGACACATTTTAAAATCAAAAGTGTGTACTAAGAAAACAAAACTCATTCTTTGTTATAGAACTGAAAACAGATTGGATGATGTGGATTCAACACATCTCTGTTCATTTAGCTTTGATCCAAAGCGTACTAAAATTGTCACTCTACTTCCCTATTTCCTACTGTATTATTAAAAAGAGTATTTTTTCTTCAGATGACCCTTTCCATTTGTTTATTTTAGATTTATCTTTGCATTTACGATGCAGTTCTGAAACTTTGGTTTTGCCAAACCTGAAGGTTCCTGAGCACTGACACATTTTTAAAAAATCCATGAGATTATCTGTATAATTTGCAGCCAAAGAGAACCTCTCCTAAGCAGAGGGGCTGTGCCTTCCTTCAATGCAAGGATGGCAGAACCAGCCTGAGCCCTACGTAGTGACTCCATTCCATCTTTTCCCAGAGAGAAAAGAATAGGTAATTCCTGTGTCACACTTAACGCATCACAACACACTAGCAGGGAATAGGATGTCATCTCTCAGCTAACAGCTAAGCAGATACTCCATTTCCCAGCCTTCCATGGTTCCCAATTCCACTAATTTTATTTCCTTACAAATCTTAAAACAGATTTCAACATCCCTGCAAGACAAAATAAAAAATAAAAATTCCTGTTGTATAGATGGAGAAACAAAACCACAAAGACCGACTTGCTAAAAAGCCTGTCTTACAGTTTCAGCTGCAGAGCCTGGGGGAAGAGCATCAGTCTTGAGCGTGGTTAGAAATCTAAGCCCCGAGTAGACACCAGCTCCATGAGGTCTGCGTTACTTCCATGGATGACAATAACAATGAAGGAGGAGGGAGCTATGTCCTACCACAGAAGCCACTGCTGTAAGCTTCATCTACCCCTCTCAGCAACGAAAGTGTTGGTACAGGAAAATCTTGCCCTCTGCAAAATAATTTTTAACACTTTTTTTGGTTTTGTCTTAAATCCTCCTGCTTTTACAGGTGGAAGACATTAGCTGGTTTAGTACGGTTCCGGGATGGTGATCCCAGCAGGAAAAAAGTAAAGCCAATAATTTCCATCAACTCCAAAGCATTACTGTCCTTTACAGCATATAATTTATGCATCCAGCCATCTCTGACACGATTCCTACACTCAAAACTGACAACATTCACAGCCTGCGAGGTTTCCAGACCTTCACCGTGCCTGTAAGACCATGGATGCTCTCAAAAGAGATTACTTGTTTCAAGAGTTTAGTGCATGAAATGCTTTGAGACTGTTTTAGGCTGTGTATAGCAGCTTCAAAACAGCTGAGGACAAACCATAGTTTTCACAGTTGGGTTTTCAGTGAGGAGCACGCTGTTGATCCTCCACTGCAGCTTGGTGCAAAACTGATTTACAGCTACAGATGGCAGGCAGCTATTTTGGAGGATGGGGGGAAAAAAAAAAAAAAGCAGCTTTTTGGGATTCCATGTTCCAAATGAAGAGTTTTAGACTGTTTTTCTAACTTTCAAAATAAGGCTCTTTTCCTCTTTTCAAGCAGAGGAATCATGTTGAAAGGATTCTTTCCTCCTGAAATCTGGAAACGTGCTGTTGACCAGGGCAGGGAGTGACAGGCCAAGGGGAATGGCCTGAAGCTGCAGGAGGGGAGATGGAGATGAGATGGGAGGCAGAAATCCTTCCCTGTGAGGGTGCTGAGGCCCTGGCACAGGTTGCCCCGAGAAGCTGTGGCTGCCCCTGGCTCCCTGGCAGTGTTGAAGGCCAGGTTGGATGGGGCTTTGGGCAAGCTGGGCTAGTGGAGGGTGTCCCTGCCCATGGCAGGGGGTTGGACCTAGATGGGCTTTGAGGTCCCTTCCAACCCAAACCAGTCTGGGATTCTATGATTCTTTTCAAGCGTTTCCTTTGTGTAAGTCAGTCCAGAGATGAAATGGAAGAGGCAGCATAAACCCCACACTCAGAAGCCGCACCATACACCCTCATCTATACAACAGCAGACAGCAACACACAATAACATTGTCTATGCCAGGAAAATCTGTCTCTGATCTTCAAACTGATGAAGAATGCCAAAGTCCTTTAAAGGAGGGAGTGGAGCTAAGAGCCCAACAAAGCATCAGAAGCAGGTCCTCTCATGGTGAATGAAAGGCCACAGGATGTGGAAACTGGAAGAGCCAAGGGGCTCTCTTCCCATAAAAACAAAACAAAAAACGCCCTGTGTATGTACATTAAAAATACCATGACCAAAATGAGGGACTCATACAGGGACAGAAAATGAAGAATGACACACAACGCCGTTGTCCATAAAAACTGAGAGTGTATTTTACCATAAGTGAACGGTCCAAGAGCAGCACCCTTACCTGACTTAGCATGCTCTGAAAAGATGTTCCCTCAAAACACACACTGATTATTCCGTGAGGCAGAGCCAGAGCTGAGACCATCAGCTTTGTTTCAAACAGGCCATGAGTGCTGATTTATCACAACACTCTCTAGAAGAAAACTCAGACTAAATGCCCAATGGTGAAGTACAACACTCTTATTCAGAGGCAAAGCACCTGCTTCAGAGAAATTTGGAATCCTAATCAATCTTCCCATGAACAGGTCAGCTTGAGGCCTTACCGGATGGTAAATTCCAGCAGCTCCTGTATGCCCTGCGGGTCAAGGTGCTGAAGGTTGTAAACTCTCTCCAGGCTCTGATGCAAGAACTGCTGGGAAGGATCTTCATGCGGTGTAATACTGGGAGAGACAGGGGACGACACCAGCTTTCTACCTGGCAACTAAACAAGAAGAAACATACAGAAAAGTCTAACACAAGTAATAACATTTCAAAATGCTGCTGCATTATTTAACAACTACCAATTGAGAGCTCTGGTTTATTTCTCAAATTCAAAATTTATATCAAGGATTTCCAATTTGCATCTTTTATCTTTGTTTGTTAATACTCTCCATTTTATAATCCACTTGCAGCTAGAGATCTTCAGGTTAAACTTCAACATCCCTTTGGGGAAAACATCCTCCTCATCTACTATGACACTCTTCAGTCAAGGGAAGTCCAAGACCACACAAACTGGAATTCATTTCATGAGCTGTAATATGACTTACAATCCACTTCAGTCCCACTTGTACTTCCGTGCAGGAAAAACATGCTTCAAAGCAGCAGGGAGCACATCTCACCCGTGAGTAAACCATTTAAGTAAGTGACAAGTCAAATGTTGGAAGATCTCCAAAGGCTAAGCTACCCTTCCCCACACAATCAGACCTACGAAAAGCTCCTAGGAATCCTGCCCTCCCAGTATTCCTTCCTAACCAGTAAACCATGTGCTAATCATAGAATCATAGAATGGTTTGGGCT